TGGGTGGGTGGGTGGGGAGAGAGTGTGAGGAAGGCACTGGGGAGACTCTAACCTTCTTCTCTCTCTTTGCAGCCGAGCCCCTGCCATTGATGGACCTGTGTCGGAGATCCATCCGCTTGGCCCTGGGCCGCCAGCGCCTACAGGACATCAGCTCCCTACCCCTGCCTCAGTCTCTCAAAAACTATCTGCAGTACCAGTGAGCCCAGCTGGGGGGCGCTGAGGGGCGGCAGTGGGCACCCCAGCTGGCTCTGCCTTTCATTTCACTGTCACACAGTACATTCAAGAAGGGGTCTTCCTCCTGGCCCCGGACCCCCAGAACTTCCACTTCTTCGAAAGGCCAGGACGTGTTCCCAGCTTTAAAAATGAATGTCTGTTGCCAACAATATATGCTGCCTTAGAAGCAGCAATCCTGTCAGAAATCTCCTTGGAAGCTACGAAGAACCTGGAGCCTGTGCCCGGAGGAGGTCCTGCCAGCCGACCAGGACACAGCAGCCACCGGTATTGATTAGAGAGCTGTTTCCATATTCGAGAGAATGAATAAAACATTGCAGCAGGAGACTTTCTATTGTGTGCCCGGTGCAGACAGGGCCAGGGGACAATTGGCCAGCTCTGGGAGAATATTGCCTCTGAATAATGAATGATGAAAGCAGCTTGATGCGCTGTCCTTCTGGACCCCCTCCCCTTGCCAGGGCAGTGGGATTGTCGTGACACTTTAGGACTTTGTGCCCCATCGAAAGACTATTATACACCCAGGGATGCCCGTGGACGATAGAAATGGCAAGTGGATGGAGCGGCGTGTAGACACCTTCCAGCTTACCTAGCTTACCTCTTTGAAAGACGTTTACTTAACCCCTGTCACATGCCTTCCTTCCCGATGGCTGACCCACGTTCCTCTCTTTGCCCCAGGCACCTCTATTCAGGGAAGCTGAGTCTGACAAATTCATCCCAGGGACAGAGTGTTTCCTTTATTATTATTTTTAAATAGCGTTGCATTTTAAAAGGGAAGGGTTGTGAGTGAGGGCAGTACTTAGTCCAAAGGTGCTAATGGGGAGATTAGGGGCATCGTGACACCCAAATGGATGATGTCCTTGGCCTGGGGAGCCTTCCTGGGATGCCTAGAGTCTCTAGGCAACCGTCCACTCAGGATGCAGTCTGGTTTCCACAAAGATTTGTTTGAGCGAATTATTTTTTCACTTTAGGGGACTTGCGAGTTTGTTTCTGTTTCAAATGTGTGTGTGATGTGCTGTTTATTTATCAGCTCGGGGCCCACGGGGGCAGTTTGTAACTGGAGGGGTGGATGTGGGAGGCATCTTCTCCACCCCCTCCGAGCCTGGTCCTCTTCCAGGAACCGAGCTGCTGCTGCTGCTGCTGCTGCTGCCACCGCCTCCGTTGGGCATCTGTCATGTGTTTCCGACGCTCTCTGCCCAGATTCGTTTTTAACTGGAAATTGTCACAGCAGTGGAATCCCAGAGCCCCAGACGGCACTGCCTCCCCCCTACTTTAATGTGAACTTGACTGATGAATGAGGAGTGTTTCTAATAAAGTGTGTCATTCAGGCCTTCAGCTGTTTAGTAAATGCTCTTCGGGGAGGTGCTGGGAAGGCTTCTTCTCTCAACCTGGCTGGTCTGTCCCCAGGTCCTCAGAAGGTGGGGATCTGATTCCCTCTCCAGACACTTCTCTTCTCTTCTTGTCCCCACTTTAACCCAAACTCTAACGTGCCTGGGTCCTGGACCCATGCCAAGCTGGCCATGATGGTAGAAAAACAGGTCAAATTGCTGATACCAGGCTATGATGTCCAAAAGGTGGCTCTGCAGGGGACACAGGGTCAAAGCAGGTTAAACCCTACAGGACAGCCATTTCAAAGTAGACCCAGAAGTGGGGCTGAATGTGACTTTGGAACTGCATGTCATCGCCAAGGAGCAGTGCAGATTGCAGAAGGGTAAGTGTGTGACTTAGCCCAGGGCCGGAAGCAGATCAGGAGCCAGTTCCTCTGGGGTCTGGGCCAGTCCTGGCACAACATCCACTCAGCTGTACAGGCCATCAACGCATGCTCTGACAACCTCCGAGGACCCAGCGGCGCCCACACAGATATATCCCATCCCCAGAGGGAATGTTTACAGTGCAGCCTAAAATGAGAGGGAGCTTGTGAAGGAGGCGGGGAGGATAGGGCCTGAAGGGAAGGCTTCCTGGAAGAAGAGGTACTCTCCATACCTGCTCTTTTAGGGGAGACCACCTTCTTGAGGACAGACCCAAAGAACCGGCCCTGCTGCATGTGCCCCGGAGCAGTGTTCTTCCACAGCTCTGACCTAGGTCTGGAGGCCGGGCTTGGTCTTGGGCGGGTTTCCATCATTTAGGTTGTGGGAAGCAGCTTCCTGCAGAGGCATGGACTCCGGCTTTGGGGTAGGAAGCCTGGGTTTCAGTCCCAGCTTTATCATTGACACCCTGTGACCTTGGATAAGTCACTTCCTCCTGTGCCCACTGTGGGGGCTGACTAGGTGGCCAGGGACCCTTCTTCTCCGGTCTCCTGGTGTCCCAGTTTCGGTACCAGATTTCCAGCTTGGATGCAACCCTCCCAGCTGGGCTTTCACACCTTGCTTATGCGACTTCCTTCACCCCAGCAATGCCCTCCCCGTTCTCGCTTTACCCTCTCGGGATCGGCTTAGATCAACCCTCCTCCAAGAAGCTCTCCCCAACCATCCACCAACTCCTTGTCTGGGCTGAGAATCAGCTCCTTGCCTCCCAGCTTGAGAATGCTCCTCCTGGCACCCAAGACGCTCACCCGAGCACTTGGGCTGGAGCCCCTCTCTGCCCCGTGGTCTCATCTGCCCAGTGAGCTGCGTGTCTTGGGCAAGTAGGGCCTGGGCATGCTCCTTTCCACACAGCCCTGGACCAGACACATGGGCTCTGCATTGTGGAGAGGTAGGTGGGAGGGCCTCCTTATAGCTTGGGTGCCGGGAACTTGCAAAGAAAGCCCTAGGTGGGAGAGGAGGCTGTCCCGCTAGAGTCCAGAACCTGGCTTCAGGCCTCTGTGGCCTCATGCCCTGTCTCTCCCTTGGCCACTCCACAGACATTGGTTAGGCATTTGTGTGTGCCTGGCACTGCCTGGGGACAGAAAGAAGGATGTCTACCCCTGCCCTGTTGGAGCTCCCATTCTAAGGGGAAAACACGACATATAAACTAAGTAACAAGATGATGTCAGAGGGAAGAGATGGGGCTTCAGAGGGTGGAGGGCAGAAGGACCCCGTTCCTGAGAGTGATCAAGGAAGGCTTTGGGAAATGCTGAGTTTTGAAAATGAGAGAGAACCCAACACATGAAAGACCATGGGTCAAGGAAACTTCTGGTTGTCCCATCCCCAGAGCAGGAGCTTCTGAGCCCCAGCAAGCTGAGCCAAAGTCAGGAGCCACCGTGCTGCCCATCTACTCCAGGTCCAGTCCCATTTGCCTGTGTATATGCAAGGTATCTCCAGGGTACTTGTGTGTTAGTACCCCCCCCCCGCACGCGCGCACACACACACACACACACACACACACACACACCTCACCAGAGGTCTTTCCCTGGCCTCACAACTGTCCCCAGAGCCAGTGCCCATTATAGCCCAGCCCCTAGCCACTCCCATCCTTGACATGTTCTCGGAGATTCGGCCGGTCTCATGATCTGTTTCTAACAGAAGCACTTGCTGAAATAGTCCGCTAATCGCTTTTTAATTGTCTATGAGTAGAGCATATGGTGGGCACAGTGCCCCACAGATCCGATCCCTGCCGAGTTCCCCCGTTCATACTTTACCTACATTTCCCCTTTCTGAATAAAGCCATCCCTCTTGCTCTTGCTTTGCTTCTCCTTCCCTTATGCCAGTGTCTGGCTTCTTCAGGGAACATCTTTCGCTAAGAAACAAAGATGTCATCATCTCTGGATGTCACAGCCAAAGTGGCAGCAGGTAGCAAGTAACACAGTTACAGGGCGATGGATTTGTGCCCACTAGCCAGGACCTCGCTTCCAGCTGCGGCCTCTGAACAGGAGGCATATCCGCGCCTCAGCACATGGCAGACCGGGCAGCATTAATCCTCAGGTTCCTGACAAAGAGTGGAGATCCCCACTGTTAGTCTAAGACACAAGGAGTTGGTCTGCTGTTTCCTCCAGTCCTAGGGCCCGGGTTCCACTCCAGTCTGCGGATGTGTTTTTTTCATTGTTATTGTTCTACGTAATATGTGTGTATTTTAATAAAAATTGAACCCAGAAGAAAAGTCAAGTCATTTAACAGAAAATCCAGATTTATGAGTTCTCTGGAAAGATAAAGACATGTGGTAAGACCAAGCCAACTGTCTTCCATGGTGATGTTGGCCAAGCTGAGTATGGATGGCTTTTTGAGTAAAGTCCTTTGTCCTGTGATCCTGTCCCAGGTCCACCCCTCCTAGAGCACAGCAGCAGGACCTCTCACAGCCAACCTCCCTGGTGGGCATTAACTGCCTGAGTGTGGGTCAAGGCTTCTGAGTTGGCCTCTCTGGACTATAACACACATCAGTGGGTAATAAACACACACACACACACACACACACACACACACACACACACACACGCACCCCGAAGGACGATGGAGGCCAGGGGAGTCTGCTAGTTCTGGATTGAATTTGAAGTACCTCATAGCTTCAGCCACTGATGTCCAGGGAGTTCACAGTCATTCAGGATCTCTGCCCAGATAACAGAGATAACATGTGTGTCTCTGATTACACAGTGAAATCCGAGAAGATGAGGACAAGAATTCTTGAGTCCTCTTTTTAATGAGCTGAATGATATAGAGAGACAAGCCTGGCTGCACATCAGAATTCCTTAAGGAAATTTGTAAAAAGTCCCAGTGCCCAGGCCTTTAACCAGACCAATTAAATCAGGACCTCTGGGGTTGGGGCCTGGGCCTTGGTAGTGTTTAGATGATTCTAAGGTGCAGCCAGGGTTGAGCTTTGCTGAGTGAGGTGCTTAATTAAGTTAGCTGAGTAGAGATGCAGTTGTTGGTGGTGAAAATGTACATCCTGGGCCAGAGAAAGCCTCCCTAGCCCACATTACGAGAAGGGAGGATTCTAAATGGCAAGTGTCACCAATGCGATTAAGTCCAAAGCCAACGAGTCTTCCCATCCCTCTTCCTTCCTTCAGAGATGCCACACCGGTTGCTCTCCGGAACTGGAGAGAAAGCACCAGCCACTTACGTATGCCCTGATGCTGCACAATTCTTGATTGATGGATTCCAGCTCCACCCACAGCCTGACCCCTGAGGCTCATGATATGTGGAGAATTTCCCACAGTGCATTGTCACAATCAATCAGAACGACCTAGAATAATAAGTACAGACCAAACTGAAAATGATTTGGTCTTGAATATACTGTTTTAAATAGGATTGGAAATAATGAGATCTGACTACAAGAATGATTTGATTCTTAGTATTTCCATAAACAAGATGACACATTTAGCCAATAAAAATGATGCCCCATCCCCCACTCCCACTTCTCTGATGGGTTTTAGAACTAGATAAGCCAGTGACAAGTCAACGCTGGCTTGGTGACAGTGTCCTCACCTGCTATGTCTACCCAACTAATAGGGCTCTTTTCCTATAAGCAGCCCTGGTGTTGGCTGAGTGCTCAGCCTGGTCAGTGTACATAGGAGGAGCAGGGTAAGTTATTTCCCATTCTTCCAACCAGCACAGTGGCCTCAGTAATGCTGTCTCTGTGCCTGGGTATTTTTCCATCAAAGGAAAAAAATACGCTAATGATTTGCTGCACAGGGATGGCATTTGAAGAAAAGAGTTGCCTTGTAGTCATCACTTTAAGTCGACAAATGGCTCTGTGCCAGGATTGTGCCAGACTCAAGGGGTATTTTGCTCCTGCTGCCCAAGAGTACCCACTCACTGCAGCAGGGAGACTGCCATGCAAACAGGTGATGCAGAGTTGAGTGCCTGCTGACAGTATGAGCAATGGGGCCCAGAAGAGAGAAAAAATGCGTGGAGGTGGGAAAGGGCTTAGCGAAGAAGGGAACATTGACAAGTCCCAGGTGATGGAAGACAAGCTGTATGAAGAAAGGGTGAAATGGGGAAGAATGAAGATCTCGTAAGCCATGTTCAAGAACAAGGGCTTGGTATGGGTCAGAATTTAGAAGAAAACATCCAACACGCTCAAAATGGAAGCTGAGGAGAGTTTAATAAAGGGGCTATGTTCAGAGGTGGAGGCAGGGTTCAGGAAACCAACGACTGAGGTTGAAGCACCCTGGGCTAGCAACGGTGTGAAGGCTAAGAGAAGGGAGCAGTAACTAGAGGAAGGGAAACTGTGCCTATTAAAAGAGCCACTCGACAGGATCTATGGCCTTAGATGGAGGAACACAGCCAGTGCCAACTGCAGCCTGGCAAGGAGGAACCTGGGGCATAAGTACCCTGACCTTTCTCTTGTCCCTTCTCTCATGTCCCATCAGCACCTCTGTTGGCTGAAACCCTCGGAACATAGCTGGCCAGGGACCTTGATTAGTATCATCTATAGAGGTCCTACAAAGCAGAGCAGAAAAGGAAGGATAATGGATCTATGGGTAT